AATATTAACACATGGGAACCTAACTGTTCGATGTTTAGCTAGTCAAAAGTTACATTCTAGTCCAAAATTTGTTGTTACCAATTCGAACAGTTATCATCGTTCCACAGTTGTATATACTAATGATAATAGTAATAGTATTGATGATAATACTTCTAATTAGGAAGAAGGAAACGAAAGAGAATTTGATGCTGTTTTTGAACTATTTTGTTTGTTTTTCAATAAACAACAACGAGTTGAAGGATAATGATGTGAGTGAACCAAGTGGGAAATGAGTGGTATATGCTCAGCGAAATGTTAGATGAGGGATTTCACAGTTGAAGGTGTGCTGGTGTGCACGTATTATACATTTCATAATAATGGTATGAGAAACAACAGCAAACTTTTCAAACTGGTCACTTAGTTGTTACAGGTAGTCGTGATACAACTTTACGTCTATGGAATGTATTAACTGGTGAATGTATACAAGAATTCCGAGGTAATTTGTTTGATTGTTTTCTAAAAAAAAGGATTTATTAATTGACTTCAATGTTAGTATTATGTCACATTTTAATTCTATGTAAAATTGACCAGTGATACAACATTGTATGATCGATATAGGAGAACACCATGGCAACGATTATTGGTAATTCGTAAAATCACAGAGTATTCCCTACTATGAAATGCATGATATACATAGTCAGTGAAGTGAGAGTTGATAAAGCTCAAACCTTTTAGTGTGAAAACTCGTGAAAGGTGCATAGGTCGCTCACCAGCATTCTCCATCCAACCCTGTCCTGGGCAATCCTTTCCAGCTCCTTCCAGTTGTTATTCATCCTTTTCATATCTGCTTTTATTTCCCAACGTAATGTGTTCTTTGGCCTTCCTCTTTTCCACTTCCCTTCAGGATTCCATGTGAGGGTTTTCCTCGTGATTCAGTTTGATGATTTGCGTAATGTATGTCCTATCCACTTACAACGTATTTTCCTAATTTCCTCTACAGTTGGTTTGTTCTTTGCTACAGAAGGCTGTTGCTGAATGTATCCGGCCAATGGATGTTGAGTATTTTGCGTAGACAACTATTTATAAATACTTGTACCTTCTTGATGGTGGTTGTTGTTCTCCAAGTTTCAGCTCCGTACAATAGAACTGACTGCCTTGACGTTGGTATTGAAGATTGTGACTTTGATATTGGTTGAAAGTTGTTTTGAGTTCCATATGTTCTTCAATTGTAGGAATGCGACCCTTGCTTTGCCAATCCTCGCCGTTTCCATAAATAAGGCTGACTGTTAACAAAATCACATTCAGTAGAGATATTTTCGTCAACATTTCAACACACATCACTTATATAGATAGAGAAAATATTAGCCATTCTACACTGAAGTCGGAATTTTGTGTTCTCCGTGTTGTATTTGAGAATCTTGCTTTTTTCCTCATGTATGCTGAGGCCCATTTGAGAAACATTAACGCGTGGATGTTAAGTCGTGAGAAGCAACATCGGTAAATTGTGAATTGACATTATAACGGCGAGCGGGAAATTGATAGGTCATCTGCGAAGTCCAAATCATCTAATTGGTTCTGACTTATCACAGATGGATGACATTCTCGTCATCCGACTAACGACGCAGTGACTTTGCAACGCGGACTCATACTCACCACATGAACACTCACTAAAAATATCAAGCGTGACTCGAATGATGGATTTTGCTATTGAATATCAGTGACACGTTTATAGACAAAGACAGCATCTTTCAGCTGTCCTCCATGCACTACTTTGCACTGTAGTCTGTTGTATGAATTCCGGATGATATTTACGATCTCAGATACTCCCTAGTGTCAAAGAAGTTCCCATAATGTTCTCCTATCTACACTGTCAAATGCCTTTTCATAATAGTTTATTGCCAACAAGTCGATGGACACGTGCCAATCTGCTCCAATTCATTCGTTCCTGTTCTCACTTCACTGCATTCATGTATATAAATACACACATATTACGTTGAACAGTCGTCATAATTGTACACCAGCAATGAACGCAATCAAGGTGAGAAGTGATTGAATGCATAACACTATTTGCGAAATATAGGTACTCTTCATTTGCATGTGTTTATACACGATACTAAACGAGATCGAGGCTGACACAAAAGGTGAATCACGATGTGTGAATTTACACTAATTCGTTCCTTCTACTTTTCCAGTCCATCGGCACTTGTTCCTCACCTTGTTGGTAGGTACAGACTACTTGGTTGTGTTCCGCGTGACTATCGTAACCAATGGTTGGAGACTCTTGGTGACATGGCTCAGAATCGATCGCAATGGCGTAGGTGTATGCACTCCCTGTCTTCCCTTAAACTAAGAGACTAAAATCGCTTGATATCTTTCTTTCTACTAACTAATTCTTTCGGTAGGAAGACGTCGTCGACAAACGGATCAGCAGTAGCGACCAAAGTTGAGAAGCCGCAAGCTGATCAGGGTGGAATCATATTGGACCTGATTGCTTCACTGCTAATCCGGTGTTCATCTTGTTGTGCTAATGAGGTATGGCAACTTGAATCGATGCATATATGTGCCTGGTCCTACGTTGTAGCTGGTTGACTGACTTTTTACATATTGTTTGGTTATTTTGATATATCTAGTGCTTACAGATTTTCAATGGCGGTCTGCCTAAGACCAGTTCGTGATTTAAAACAACTTATATTTTATTGACGTCCACCATTAAAAACCGGAAACACTAGACAGTCTTTTTTTCCTAGTATGAATCTCCTCAACAGTGCTCATCCACGATCCCACACGTGAAACTCGAACCCAGAATCACTCGTGTCTGCTGAAACAATCGGACAGTCAGACACTTGTGGCCTTAATCCAGAGTAATGTGTCTAAACACACTGTTCTATGTGTTCTCAAATATTCTCAAGCACTCAGTATGTGGTATTCATCGCAACCATCTTCCATTGTTTTTGCGGTTGACTACCTCGCACCCGTTACTCCACTGGTCACGGCTTCTCACTAGAACTCCGAGTATAACCTCTCGAAGCTAGTTATTAAAAAAGATATAAAGATAGTGGCACGATATCGTGAATTGGTTAAAGTTAGACATTAACACTGTTGAATGCCGGCTTAGTGATCTCGAGCTTTTGCGTGAGCTCGAAGGTCTTTGATTCGAGTCCCGAAGATTAGTTAACAAAATACGCTGAGTAATAATTTATTATTATCATTAAAAACAATGTTAATCAATGTTACGAATTTACTGATGTAGTAATTAATACACCTTATGTTTGCTACACAAAAGCAGGAAATGCTAGAACTGCTTTGCCCTCTAATACCAATAATTTCTTATTTCTTCAAGAGTTTACATTCGAGTGTAGTGAAGACACCGATAGGATTACTGGTAGGTAAATTGCATTATAGATGAAGAAATCTGGTTAAATAAGTGCTTTGAAATGCACCGTTCGCATTGATTCTCCAGACTTCAGATAACTAGCTTGTTCTAAAATACCAATCTGTATTTTACTTTCCCGGATGCAAAATACACCTTAGTAAGCAAAATAGAGTGGAACTCTGAATAAATCATCAGATTACGCCGGAAATGAAAGACTAATGCGAGGTGCAATTTCACTGACATATCTACAGTTAACAAGAGTTTATGGTAATTTACTGTCGAGCAGAATAATGAAGGTTTGCGTAAATGATAATCGAAATTACTGATTGAGTTTATCTGTTACTTTTTCACTGTCCAAGTGATGTGTTTCATCCAACACTGTCAGTCAGTTTTGAGATCATTAGGTAGGTGAGTACTGCATATCAGAGTGTTATTCTTCATACGTGTACGATTTTGAAGATTTGAAAGTGGGTTTGTCGTCAAAAATTTCACTGTTCAATGAATTAATAGGTCAATTCAAATGAAGTGGAATATAAAATTAATTGTAGTTAGATGAATACGAACAAATCTTGAAAATGTGTAGTTTGACCATTTGCACTGTATCAAGCTGAACTGATGGGTCCCGGAGAAACAGCGATCCGTAATATATCACTCGTCAAGTACATGTTGTCTGAAAATTAAAAAGCAAAATACAAGTCATTCCAGATCAACTTGGTTCTAGATCCAGATTCATTGAAATTTGTTTTTCTACTACACATTTTTTTTAAAGTAATGTCAAAATCAAATACAAATAACCTGAACATTTTCACCAGAGTAGAGGACGGCATTTGTTCACTGGATCAACTCAACACTCTTCATGATCACACCATTCTTACAAATAAAAATCAGATGAACAATATGCTCACAACTTCAAAACTAATTACTAAATTCCCACAAAATGATTCAATTGAAGGATTCTTCATGGCAGGTTTCATGGACTGAACAATATGGAACATTTCACAGTCATTGTCCACTTCCATACAAACGAGCATTGACAAAGTGCCTGTTCAGTCAAATTGACCATACCCGTACAAATAGTACTGGTGGAGATGAGGTAGTTTCTTTCACAAAATAATGCACTGATAGAGAACAGTTATTCGTCAAATTTCGTCAATCGATGGAATGGTTAAATTAGAGTAAGATGAGATCAACACACTTCCTCCACCCTTAATGCTTATCCACAGCATCCCATCCCTCTGAGGTGTGTTCTTCTTCCGAAATAAATATCCACGTCAGTTGTCGACAAATTGTACTATGTAGTACTATTCATCATCATTGAAATGCGAAATCCATTCTTCACCAGGAAGCTTAGTATCGTCAAATCGATTGAGTGATTTCTCACTGTGTTCACCGCTTTCTATGTCTGTTGCGACATACATACACAGAGAGGAATAATCGTGACCCACAAGTTAAGGTGGCTGTGTATATAACAAAACAATTGAGAAACAAGTGAAATCGAATAGGTTATTAAGAGCACATGACCAATACCCATATTCCTCAATTGCTAATCATGTACATGTGATAAAACATTAGATTGTCGCTAAGCTATCTGTTGTAGCTTTTTCTATGTAGAGTAATTTAGAATGAAGCGTTAGACGAGGGAACTTTCATGAATCCATTATCTTCTCAAAAACAATTTTATCATATTATCAGTGGTTCATTGGATACGACTATACGTATATGGAATGCATATACTGGTGAATTGAAACAAACTTTCTATGGTCATCGTTCATTAACAAGTGAATTAGCATTTGGGTCTGAACAAAATATTCTTGTGTCAAGTAATGCCGATGAAACAATACGAGTTTGGCATATGAATAGTGGAAAGTGTGTACATGTTCTTGCTGGTAAGTCTACAGTGTTTAACATGCTTTTTTTGGTATTGCGGTCAGTGTTTACTTTAAATGTTTGTACATGTTGATGATACTTTTACATTTATTTCAGTAGAATATTTAATATGTCCAGACATTTTAAGATTTTTTTGCCGTACCTGAAATTTTTCTTTTATGCAGGTGCTCAGTTACCACCTATCCCATTCTTTTATGATGCTTATGATATAGTAGCTTCGATTGAATGCTACTTGTTATGTCTGGTTGTCGCTGATTGTTATGAATGAACCACTTTTCACTTTTACTTGTAGTTCGAGGAACTACTGCAATTCCCACAACGCGAAAGTTAGAAACCATTGTCACATGGCTGAAAAGTTGTCACAGCAACCCAGGTTTGTCCGTTTGTTTTGCTTCCAGACCATTAGTATACCACTACGTCATAATTCTTATTCTATGATCTGACTATTTGGACGATATTTCTTAGGTTAATTTTTTGAAATCATTATCGATATTATCATCTAAGCTTTATTTTTCATCCTCTCATCAGTTTTCTCCGTATTCGATGAATAGAAGTTTGGTAACTTGGGTCTCAGTTTAAACACTGTATTCAGCAAACTTGTTGAACAATTAAGAAATAATGAATAAATTAATCTAATCCCTTCATATCAATTTATGTTCTATTGGGTTAATGTTTTGATGCCAAATGTTATTAAAGTTATAAATGGCGGTTTGAACCACTTTTCATTACAATTTAGCACAAATTAACATGCTTCATTTTGGTTGATGCCATATCACTTAGTTTGAAGGTGATACTATAAACTTCTAGACAGATGACATCATTAGAAATAGTCTCCGTTCAGCCCACAGTTGATGTTCACTTCGAGAAATTAATCCTTAATTCATATATTCTTTAACCAAAGTTGAAGTCATACATCATATTTGATAATGTGATGAGTTGACGAAGTTTATCAGAATTATATGAACTTGTTTGTGGAACGTGTGTGGATCTTAATTTACTTTTTAATAGTTCGGATTACCATGGTTTCGATATTTTGACTGCGATTTCCATAGTCTTGGCTGGTATATGTACATCTTGTGCGGATTGCCTCGATATAATCGTTGCACAAGTGAGTGGCTATCTGTAATCGGTTTCTAAGTGGATAACGCGTTGACGTTCAGAGCGAACGGTACTGTACTACTGGGTGCCAGTCTCGAAATGAACCTCACTTATGGAATGCACGGATATCCAGCTGCCGATTCGTGGATAAGACGAAACGTGCGTCTTGGATCCCTCTGCTCGTCACATCCTATCTGTTTTATATAAACTTGTTATAATGCATATTCGAGGTAATCGGCACATAATGCACATGTACCAGTCAAGACTGATCAAATTTTGGTCAAAATATCGACAACGGGATAATTCAAACCATGATAAAAACTAGTTTGGCTAATATGAACAAATTGATGTAGTGTAAGTCAGAACACTTTTTTAACGGTTAACATTGTCACAAATGTAGTAAACGTACACTTGGCACCAAAACAATCTATATATGAAAAACCTGAATGATTCAAACTTACTAAGCGTTATGTGGAAAGGTGTAGGAGTTCAAGTGATATTTAACACTAGGATGTTCTCTGAAATACGGAAAACCTTTTGGGTTGTGCCTAAGGTTGGTCAGTGTGACCTAACTGTGAGAATAGTTAATTTAGATAGAACAATAAGAAGACTAAGTTTATCTGAAAAATGTGGTGTATTTGCGCTAAACATTTCGAACAATGTGGTCACACATATACTTGTCAAGGCATTTTATATGAAAACTAATAAAGATTCAAGTGAGCGAAGTGATAATCTTAGTAGTTGGATTTATTAGTCGATCTAAGTTAGACCACCATTGATAACCTGGGTCCGATTCTCGCAAGCGAGACCTTCAGTCTCGCGCACGAGCGCCTAACCTCTTAAGCACTAAGCCGACATCCAACGGTGTCAATGTATAACTTCAACCAATCCACACTAGTGAGCACATGATGATTATTATCAGAAGGGATTTTGTGGATATTATAGTAATTTCAGTGGTTGAGACCATGAGTCAATTGAAGCTAGACCACTATGAAAAACCTGGAAGCACTGGATGACCATTTCGTTCTATTGTGTACAGAAACATTTTGTCGTATGCGTTTTGAGTTATAGTTTTATGTTGAAGCTGTTATTTTTTACTAACATTTCTCCGGTATGTATCATTTACATCAATATGTCTAGTTGTATTGATGTTAGTGTGATTTATTTACTAAGCACAAATTTAACTTGTGGTATGTGATCAATCGAAGGCAATAACATGACTGATTCATTAAAGGTATTTATATTTGTCCTTTATCTTATATTTTCACAGATTGAAATCATGAGTCAGTTGAAGCTAGACTACCATTGAAAACCTGGATGCACTGGACGGCCGTCTCGCCCTATTATGGGACTCCTCAGCATGCCTCGCGGAGCACTTACCTTAGACCACTGAGAGGAAAACCTGAAAACATAATTTATATCATAGCTTTATTTTCTTTTATATTCTGCCCCTCGTTCACAGCCACTTTTTGGCTTATTTGTGTACACATGTTATTTTCTATTTTATGGTAAGTTGTGCTCTGTCTGATTGATATATAAACCGAGTATGTCTGACATAAACGATTCTATTCTATTCGATTCATACTACAAAAGCTGGTATTGTGTTCTGGACTCAAGTGGAAGGGCTAGGAGGACATAGGACCAATCAGGACGCTAAACTGCTCATACCGGTTGAACGTCATTGGTTTGGCATAGTACGAAATTGTATAAGTCGTATTCTGACTGGTCGATAAGTCACGTGATAGAACGGCATCCAACGGTGTTAATGTCTAACTTCAACCAATCCACGAAGTTGCGCCATCATTATACCATTGTCTTCAGTGAGCTGATATCTCACAACAGACCTGGTTGTACTCCACTGGTAACGGCTTCCCACTAGAACTCCAGGAGTATCTCTTGAAGTCAGTCACTAGTGAGCAGATGATTATTATCAGAAGGGGTTTGTGGAGATTTTTAGAAATTTTCACAGATTGAAATCATGAGTCAGTTGAAGCTATCATATATCATCACTTTAATTCAAAAATTGTTCAACCGTAAAATGATAATACGAATAAGTATATATAATTAATTGACTTGGACATATAAAGTCCTAAAGTCCCCAGTTCAGGTAGCTTAGTGGTAACGTCTAAGATTACGAATCAAGTGATAGGAAGTCGGATCCACCGGGTAGGACTGGTTTCCTTAATCTTACAGACACACCTTCCTGACTAGTCCCAAACAGCGCGAACTCTATATCCAGGGTTTTCTATCGACTGCTTCCAACCACCTAACACACTTTTTCCGTTTTATCAATCCTTTCTAGTATTGATGAGTATTATGATGGTAAGTCATTCTGTATAAATCTTATTCGTAGAATGTTTATATTAGAAATAACTTTTTTTAGTGAACCATTTTTTAGTTTGGCTAGAAAAATATCTTGTGAGGGGTAATAAGGTTGACGTCAAATCAGCATTTGTAATGTTATACAAAAGCCTTCAAGGACGTATACTAAGGTTTATAATATCATCTGGTGATGACGGTACAGTGAAATTATGGGATAAGCAGTCTGGTGCGTATATTCGAGATCTTTTACGCCTTGATGGAGCTGGACGAGGCGGTGTTATCTGGCGTATAGTTGCTTCTGAAGAACGTTTAATATGTGCTGCTGGAAGTCGAATTGGTATGGAACCGACAAAATTAGTTATTCTACAGTTTCAAGAACCAAATCTTTGTTCAAAACACTCGAACACTAATAATAGTAGTAATAAAATATCTCATATCTGTCGGCCTAGACATAAATATGCTCCAGAACCGAGACTTAGTCAACTAATATGCGCCAATTTCAGTACAATCTAGTATTTTACCATTACTTGTTGGAGATAATTAGGTTAAATTTATTAACTGTTTTAGATACATTTCAATGAAAAATGTTTGGAGATTCATATTTCATTGAATTGTGTACATAAATCAGCTTGTTTACTCGTTTGGTCTTCTGATTATTGATAATTCTTTTTAAAGGTATGTATTAGCGATAAAGTTGTCACAACCACATCTGATCAATAATCACACAGAGTATGGTAAGTCGAGTTTTTATAATTGATTATAATATCGTTAATGCTTTGTGCAAAAGGTTCCATTGATATTCTAAAAAAAAATATTTAACCATGAAAATCTAGACCCATCTCTGGTGTTCGAGCAAACTTCGACACAGTAATTAACGGTAGTAATAATGACTGACTGTCAACGGTTCATGGGAATTTCCGTATTTCATGGTTGACGTCAAAGACTGATCTTAGATAGCGCTAAAGAGCTACTAGGACAAAACAGCTGTCCAGTATCCCCTTACTTACTAACATAAACCTTTCTACCCCCAACCGACTTATTCTTGTTATCTTCTTCCTAATTACATTTTATTTCAATTCTAATACCATGTCGCGCAACTCCTCCAGTCATTTATCTGCTTGATGAATATTCAAACCCTTAAAAACTACAATTACAGCTTCTCAGTGACAGGTGCAAAGTTCAGTAAATTCTCAACAATAAAGAAATTTCTAATTCTTACTCATTGGGATATTAAAAATATATCATTGTTTTGTTATCAACAGGCATATTGTTTTTTATTCATCCTAAAAGGAAGCGTAATGAGCGACAAACTCGACATATTACGTGTTAATCGTGTATTATATTTACTTTCTTTTTAGCCGTATGAAAGTCACCTAAGGTTATATTTTGTTAATATATTATATAATTGTTAGGCTGATTGCACACATAAGAGCGGAAATGTAATTGGCTGAATTTCGAACCTAGAATGAACCAACTGGATTGCTTTTTGAGTCTTCTAACCAGTCAGCAACTTAGTTCCTTAAGAAAAAACTTAGTAGATCTAATAGGAATGCTGTCACAAGCTTCTCAAATGTTTTTCCTACCACTTTTGTAAATTATTAGATCATATGGGTAACAAGTACAAACTTTATATCCTCGGCTTCTTGTCAAACAGTTTGTTTGTTGTTTTCAAATCGATAACCTGATTGTTAGGTGCCGCTCAATGTAAGATCGATTGAGGCGGCCTGCTTGAATATCTGGCCCACCTGTTCCTGCCATCTGTATATTTCAACAAGTTACCTTTTTGCTTGTTTGTTTGAACACATCATTATACCTATTAGTCTCATAACCTATTCAGGTGCGTTTGTGGAAAGTTTACGATATTGCCACACAAATTACTAAAGAGCCCAGTCAGAAACATTGTGATTGCTGGCCATATGCATCGAAAAGAATGTACATTATTCAGATGTTGAGTCCTGAACTGCTAAAATCTGACTGGCGATCCGATTTTTAGTATTAAATAAATCTGCTATTAATAAATATATACACTGCATGAAATCAGGCATAAATACTGAATTTAATCTGTGTTAAAGTGAATAATATAATATTGAATAAAGCCACTAATAAGAATAAAACGATTGGCCTGTACTGGGATGTTATTTGTCTCTTAAAAGATAACATGACATTTGCATCTCAACATAATTAGTAAACCATTGCATTACACGTGTTTAAACTTGATGTAGTCATGAAAGCATAAATATTTAGTGCTGATTTACTTAACAACTATTGGTTTTTTCCCTCCTTTGGATTTGGCTGAGACAAGGAATGTAATAATACATTAGCTTAGGTCTTCTAACTCGACAGTTATTATTATAGTTTTGAAATGCTTACAGATCTATTAGATTTACCAGTGATATGGAGATGTTCGAGACAAGTATGATCCTGAAGACAGGTTGTTGTGTACAATATCAAGTTTAAGGCCTGGTGAAAAGGTAGAATCGCATATTAGTCATAAACTAATTGGCTCGACCTTGGCGTGGTAAGCTGGACCAACCCAACCTTGAGGTTAGTACGAGTGAGTTCGACGTGGGTAGAGAAAAAACTATTCTATCACCTGATTGGCTGATACCGTAACAAGACAACTGGAACACTACTCGATCTATTCCTGATATCCTGATTTCAGTTTAGTTCGGATTTGTGTAAAAATGTACATGAATAAATAAGTGAATAACCCAACCACAATGTACGATAATTAGGGAAATAACAATTATGTCTAAAGCTGGGAACTCCCAAAGGATTTAGGTGATCACTAACAACTTACAACTAATCACTGAAGCTATTTGGTTCAGGCAGAAAAAGACCAAAAACTAGCAAAAGTAATCTCATATTTTTTCTTTGAAGTCTAAAATAGTTTCAACTTTACACTGGTGCATATGTCGTAAGTGTTTACAGGAATAATCTTAAGAGAGCAGCTTCAAATCACCGGAAACAAGGTTTATTTCAGAAGCTAAAGCTGATCACAAAAAATGAAATAAATCTTCATAACTGAAAATAGATTATATAACAAAAATAGTTTCTCGAATGATTTCAGTCATCAATATTAGTAAACTCATATTATAACATTGTTTTCATTCTCAATAAAGGGAAACTCAAAATAGTATAAACGAATACAATGATTAGACATGATTACTTGTTTGAACCTTTGTAGCAACGGATAATTTATATTAGATTCTCTTAGATAGTGGTTAATTGGCTAATTATTATTTTAAAAATAAGTTATTATTTAGGCTTACTATGAATATATCTATGAAAGTTATTGTTAACTGCATAGCAGTTAATAATGTTATGTTAATCAAAGCAATGAGATATTCCATTGAATTGATGTATCTCTAACAGTCTATTTGAGTCATTCTATTTATCCGTATACAAATGGTGATAATGTTTCATCTAAGCTAATAAAAATTGAATAGTGATAATTCATCGAATTAATCCATTTAAGCTGAAAATTTACTATTTAGACCAACTTTGAAGAGTTTAGTTGGATAATATCTAGAAATAAGTTTTATATAAGCAAAGATGGATAGTTGCTAGCAGTCTTTGCTTAAAACACTTATGACTTAAGGTTATGTCGAGGCAATCTTCACAGGATGTATATATGCCAACATGAGACTAATCCATTGCAGTCTTTTATAACAATGGGAAGATACAAGTAAAACAACACCATGTAAATAGATAAACACTTGTGAAACGCTTCCAAACTAGCGGGATTTGCAGCGAACGAACGCTGACTACACTAAGTGAACTCAACTGTTTTGAAAAACATGAACGTTACATACATAAACGTGGATACCGGAAATCAGTAAACTTAATTTTCATCTTATTATCGATGAAGTTTATTGATGCGAAGTGTACGATTCTATCACTGATTTTAGCTGAGAATGTTACTGAAATACCTTAAAGTAATCCAAATTGGAAATATTCACTACTGATTTCTTGCTCAGTGCTCTAATTAAAAAGATCTCTTCACCAAAATTACATTAAGCTAATACACAAGATATTATACACTCAGCATCGTCAGAAAGGTTGTACAATAGAGCTGAAGTCCTTAATTGAAACAGCTAGGGGTGTATTTCGAAATTTATCCTTGAAGGCTATTGCATACCATATCTCGGGATACACTAGGGGGCCGAGGAACTCTCCACCATGGTTCAGTAAGGAGGTTCACACCCTTCTCTGCAAGAGGAGAATGTGGAGTAAATTTAGGCAATTGGGGACTGACGACACAAAATCTCAATATCGAGGAGTTCGGGATGCTTGTACATCGACCCTCCGAAGTTTGTACAACGAAAAATTGTTGTGCAATCTATAGAATGCCCTTGTCGCTTGGGTTCGTACACAAATCAAAGAACTAAAAGAATAGAAAATATTCCAGCACGATGTGGGGACAATAGTGTTTCATCATTAGCGGAGGAAAAATTTGGTAAAGCCAAATTATTCTCAAACTACTTGAGCAATATATACCGTGGAAACACCTTTTTCTTTCAGGCCATACAAATCTTCCCACATACATACTGGACAACGTGACCGTCAAGGAACTCAATGTCCTTGGTCTGCGAAATAAGTATGATATAGGCAAATCCAATTGATTCATGATCTCAACCATTAAAATAACGTTAAATATACAATTTAGTTGAATAGATGATTTTTCACGACCTAAAATATCTTTTTTTATTCTATCCGCTACCCAGAGTCGTCCACCAAAAGATTGGGAGAACGCCATAGTGAATTCTGTCTTCAAAACAGTTACGAAACATAAACCTGAAGACTATAGACCCATTAGCCTAACTAACGTGTTTTTCAAAATTTTATAAAAGATTATTCAGAAAGGGTTTTTAAGTATCTCGATAAAAACCGGATTCTTTCCGAAAGGCAGCGTTGTTTTAAAATAGGTTATCCTTGTCGCATTAACTTTATAGTGGCTCGTGAAGGCTGATGCGCTCTTACAGAAGTTATGTTTATTACCATAGCTCCAAAGCATAACAGTTAATATCCTATAATGGCTCTTGATAACTCCGCCTGGAACCCCCTTGAGGCTACTGAAGGTCCTAGGCCCGGATAAAGGACTTGCTCGATGAGCGTCAACAGTGTGTAAGCATGAACCTAGAGCTTTCTTGTTGGGAAACTATGCTTAGTGGAGTACTTCGTAGTCCCATATCATTATAGAGACTCACGTGCAACTGAGTTTGTTCGACTTTTAAACTCTATATGGATATTTTACAAGATATCCAGTTTATATCGCTATGACTTTATTGTTTAAAAAGGTCAAAATGCAAACAATGAGCGAAATACAATTCATTACTTAAATTTCTTACCTCTTTTAATATACCTCAGTTCGTTAATAAGTTAACAAAATGACTTAATCGGATTAAATGTGAACAAACTCAATTGCACGTGAGTTGCTATGTCATCCTCGGTCTGGTTATATGCTGACCATAATCAATATATTAAGTAAGCAACAATACAAATAATATGCT